GTGTCATTCGTACCCGTAATTGTAATAATCCTTCTCTAGTGCTTAAAGTTCCGTCATGTAAAAGTAGCACTTTTCAGTCATCGTTCTTTAACCGTATTGTTCCACTCTGGAATCATACTTGCAAAATTGCTTCTCCTGGAGATCTTCGCAGTTTGGCAACGTTTAAATCCTTCTTATCAAGAACATACTTCAATTTATTAAGTAGTAGTTTTGATGTTGACATGTGCTGTACGTGGTCTTTGTATCATAGCTGTTCATGCCATAGAAATAGTTAATTCTGATGTAAACAAATACCAGCGTCTCGTGTCAGGTTTTGTTCTATCCTGATTCAGCTTTCAAATTTTTAACATGATTATACAAATCTGTATTATATGCATGATAACTTGAATGTGGTGCAATAGCCGTCCTAATTTGATATTAATCAGCTGGTATATGTTTACCAATGGGCCTTTCCATTTAATATAGGCACCCCCCCCCCTATTGAGGGGTCCCTTCATAATCCCCTTAGGATATAAAAATTTTAGAACCCCCTTGGTTGTGATTTTTGGAAGTTATCCCATGGATATCTTTATACCCCCTTTAGGATATCGTTTTTACCCCCTTGGATATCACTAAAACACCTCATTTTTGCTATTTTTTTGAAAATTTCTTAAGCTCTAGGAAATTTTAAGGCATGCCTGTCAGATGTTGGGATCCTAAGTAGCGGCGCTAACTGCAAGTGCCTGAAGCTAACTGCAATCCTTGGTCAGAAGTCTTATGGCTGCTTGAGTAAAGTAGAAAATTTCAATTTTTCCCAATATATTCTGCAATATTTACCGACCATATTTAATATGAGTCGTACCCAAGACGTAAATTCATCAAATGATGCCATCAAAAACTTAAAATTTCCTGTTATGTGGCCGAATCTTATTCGTCAGCCGACAATCTTGTCGGCTTGATATACGAAAATTTTCCAGCAATTGGGTTTGAGCAAATTAGTGGACACTCAATTTTGACAATATGAAACATAACTCAAAAAAATTTCTTCTGTGCCTGGTCCCCTGTCGCAATTTGCAAGCTTCAAGCAAAGCAAGCAAGTTTGGACCACACAGGGCTAACTGAACTTTTTGGCTACCTGCAAAAAAATTAAATATACAGGCATGTTTTAAGGTAAAAACCCCCTCCCCTCCCATAGGATTTCCAGACCCCTCAATAGGGGGGGGGGTGCCTATATTAAATGGAATGGCCCAATTTATTTAATATTGTCGTAAATAATGATATTAGATGTAAACAAAATTCAAGAGGGAGAGTGCCTCCCATGGGTCTCGAGTCCCGTTCGCACTCTTGCCGTTTGAACGTCGTTCAATAAAGCTGTTAAAACAAACACTAATACGCCAACTCATTTCGCCGAGATCTCCAACAATGAGCACGTGGAATGCAGTCTGACTGAAAAGTAAAAACACAAAAGATTCGGCTGTGTCGACATGGATTTCGACATGCGACTAACTGTGTTGGCGAATGGCGTCTCCTTTCATACAGTGCCTGACCTACAGTAGCTGGCAGCAGCACATATTAAATTAAGCTCATTAGACAAAATACGACATTTAGCTGATTCTATCACAAGTTATAAATTATTGAACTTTAACAAGTTTTTTTATATAATATTCAAAATATATCTTACTTACGAATACTTCCCATCATTTAATGTATTTTTACACCAGCATTATTTCTTCTGGGCAGAGAAATTTTGTAAATTCTCCAGAAAAGTAGTGAACGCAAGACGCCATTTTGAATTTAGTGTGTAATATGCTAATACTTCATGTTAACATTTTCAAAAGAGCACATCTAAATACCTTTTCATTGGCTGGTTTTGATAAATTTTGATTGGCTATGCCATAAATCACTAATGCTGATTCTCCCCTTGTGCTCAGCAACTTATGATCAACCTTTTACTGTTATGAGCACCCATTTTTTTTAACTAAAATGGGGGGTGAATCGGTTTTCGGATCGTCGGATTTCACAGAAAAAATTGTTCGGATTTCGGATCTGGCGAATATTTTACACTGACTCTTCCACAGTCCCTCATCCGTTATCCGTACGCGCGGTCGTGTCCCATTAAGCCCCGCGCTCCCATTGTTTTTCCACTGATCTCTATCCCCAACTGAGGCGACGAGGGACGAGGCAGTATTTTACACGGATTTGTGGATCTTATTAATACAGCGGATTGCGGATTTATCTAATATTTTGGCTCGGATTGTGGATTTAGTTTGCAATTTAGTTCGGATCCTGGATTGTGACTTCATAGTAGAGATTTTAGCGGATTCAAATTCACACAAGACCATTGTCGCATTTTGCTTCAAATTTGGGCGGATCGGCGGATTTGTATACCCCCCCCGCCTAAAAGAATATTCAAGCTTGTCAGCAAAAATTGCAGGTTTGCTGCATAAATCAACAAGTAACTAATTAAGCCAAAACTGATGTATCTAATAAAAAACCCTCCATTCTCTGATATTTCTTTCTGTATTTTTATCATGTTTTCAACACCTAGATACCAAATATTCTCTTGACGTTTTAAAATAAGATTTTGCGGCATTTGCCTATTTCCATTGAGAGAATCAATCTCGTACCAGTGCAATATAGCCCCCGGTGCGAGGTTCTGGGGAAATGTTGTGTGATTTAGATCATTATTAGGAATGAGGTTTGGCCAATTAGCATTTTGTGTGGCAATTTTGTTTAGGTTGTTAAGAGGACAATTAATCGGGAAACGTCTACTTGGGATGGTCGTTTCAAAGTTGTCCCTTCTCGCATCCCAAGAATGGACCTGCATGGGCCGTGGAGATGACTTGTACAGCTTTCCAAAAACTTACAAAAGGAAAGAATAGAAGCAAAGAACAGAGTGGTTGATATTTTGATGGGTTCGTGGACAACTAACTTGCCTTCCACCTTATCAAAAAAGACAATTTATGTCGGAACAGCCAATTTTGTGTTTAAATGGTAGTTTTATCGGAGGAAATTCAGGAGGATTTGCCAAACTATCGGGAAAAGCGAATTTCTGCCACTGGAAGAGAATCTAAGTAATTCGAAGTAAATATCAGGAAAAAGGGTTTTGTATGTGAACATTTCGAGTAGAAGTATTTTACATTTATTGGACCTGAGCAGAAGCAGAGCGCTGCACAAGAATTGTAGGGCTGCAGGTTTGATTCTTGCCAGAGGGCAAGTGTAGTTGCATTTTTCCCAATTGCTTCTGCTTAGGTCTAATAAATGTATAAAATTTTCACTCAACATTTTCCATCTACAAAATCCTTCTACACTCAGTAATTAACCCTAATCCGTTATTATTGTTGAGTTAATCTAAGAACCTATTCTTGCCGAGATGGAATGAACATGGGAGATATTATGATACTACAGTATTTGTGAGGAAGAGGTACGGTATTCATGAATATTAAATAATTTTCCTACTATCATTTTGTGAATAATGCTAGCCAGCGTGGCCACGCTGGCTAGAATAAGGCCGGTACACATATAGGATCAGCTTAACAACATTTGAGTGCCGAGAAGCAACTCATGGGTTTCAGCTAATACGGTCAATTTATTTATTATCCTTCGACAGAAAAATAATTAATGCATAACTAAATGATAATTAAAACTGTCTCTGGGAAACCACAAGAGCATACAGCTAAATACTACGGCTCCTAGTTTCTATGTTACGCTCTCTGATAGCTGGCTTAATAACTTATCAACCTGCAGTGTTTCGAAGGATGAGAGTAGGCACTATTCCAGAAGAGAAAAGGATTTTTATAACAGTTATCATGTTATTTCCATTTCTGCTTGATTCTGAACTTATCTAATAATAAACCATCATATACTGATAATGATTATAATATTAATAATCACTGTAAATTCCTGGCAATGGACACAATGAGTAGCGTACGTTTGTTTGAAAAGCGTTCAAAGGATAATTTTGAGGAAGAAAGATACTAGGATTTCTTAACGAGCTGTGGATGGCATAATGAGATTGAGCCAGCGCCATCTCCCGGTCAGCGGCAAGCTTCCTTTTCCATTTAGTTCTTCTGTTTTGGAACCAAATTTTGATCTGAGTCTCTGATAGCTTAAGGCCAGCGGCAAGTTCCATTCTTCTACAAACGCTTAAATATCTGTTGTTTTCAAATTCTTGTTCGAGAACTTTGATTTGATGTGAAGAAAATGCTGTTCTTTTTCGTTTCTTTGGAATACTTGGTGTGGTTTCATTTTCTCGCGCTTTGTTTGTAGAGAAGTCGCCATGACACAAGGAAACTAAAGAAAAACAATATTTTCCATATCAAGAAAACTCTGTCCTGCTCAAGGACTCTTCCATGCAGTTAGACAGAGTGAAATACTAAAGCTTTTCGGCATCCGACTCAAAAGATATTATATTGCACAAATTGAATATGATTGAGCAAGACTAAGGTGACTTTAAACTCGCTAAAAAGAAACAATACAAAAGGACATCTAATTCCGTTGTATATTGTAGGCTTGAAAGAGGCATGGTTGACTATATATCCTTCTCTGATTCTGAACGACGAGTGTCCTAATTGATCTGACTTTATTCTATACAACATTTCTGCTCCTAAACGTGTCAGAATTGAATTTAAATAAAGAAAACTATTTTCATTGTATTTTCTTGCATGAAATTTCCTAGTTATAGGCGGACACAGCGCCAATAGCCTCAATTCATTCGTCGCTTATTGAGTTGTGTTAAAACCTCTACTAAATTGTAAGTACAGTACATTAAAAATTGCTTTTCTGATAAGTCGACGTCATGCACTATTCCACTGAAAATTCGCCTTACTTGGGAAGTATTAGAAACTAACTGGGAACTTTTAAGTTAATTCTCGAGAAAATATACATATGAAAATAATGCAAGTGCTTGCTAGTAGTACATTTGACGACCGATAACTTTTCGCGGTATAATGGCGGTTTGTATTTTTCATAATCCTGTGGTTACTTCAGAAAACCACGTCCATAATCTATTTCATATTTAATGATCTTAATTTAGTCCCTTTTACCTTCATGTGTGTCGAGTCTATTGCTGATAACAGGGTACACTGTAGGAAGTATATCAATCATTTGAGAAGTACTGCAGGAACCTGGATTTAACCAATCACTCTCTTCCTCATCATTTGAATTCTCTTTTTCAGTTATTGTTCTAGAATCTGCAGACTCTCCTTCTTCAGAAATTTTCTCGGATTTGTTCGACTTAGAATCTTTCAGAAGATTTTCTATGAAAAAGCCTTTATCTATCTCCATTTGTAAATCAAAGCAAGTACCTGAGTAGTTTGCTGCTCTTATGAGATATGAAGAGTGCGATGCTTCGGTTTGAGGACTTGGCTTTTAAAAGACAATCCAAGTACTTTAAATTGCTATCAGGTGTTAATCAGTCAAAAAGATGATGAAATATTTCAATTGCAATTATCAGCCGAGATTGACTTTTTGATTAGTTTGGAAGCTTAATACGAAAGCGTTTCGGCACATCCTTTATTCCGTTTTATCAAAAATGCATTAAATCAAAAACTGCAAGCCGCGAAGGATTCAATTTGCCATCGTATTTGTATAAAAAATGCTCAACAAATTTTATTTCAACGGAGAATTGGTATCAGAAACACTGATTTTTCCTTCAAAACTTGTGCGTGAATTGAACTTTGTGGTTTTCACTTGTGGTTATTTTATTATCCACGGCTGTTGTTGACTTAAATAAGCACAAGAAACGATAAACACAACTTATCAATGAACGACAGCATGATTGATAGAAATATAGAAGTGTTTAAAGTACTTTTTAACGTTTTTACTGCAATTTCATTGCAATAAAAACATACTTTCTTCAATATGATTGAATAATTAGCAAACATTTTTCCATTGTTGTATCGTAATGATCAGTTCAGCTGGGCCAACCCGATGTTAATTTGCAAATATTTAATTACCATTCTACATGAACTTAATCAGTAAACATGTCTGCCGTTCATTTAATCCATAAACTGGGCTATCTTAGCTTATCTGAACTCAACAGGCATCGGCCAAATGCGAATCCGTTGGGTGAGTCAGTTATCGTCTACATGAAAAGTACAATAGAGGATACAGAACAACACGCTTAATTTTAATTTAGATCCTGAACTACGTCATTCTTGTTCCTTTCATGCCATTCGTCCTGCCAAAATCACGTCATTTCTCGTCCCATTCAAGCTGTTTATATGTGGATGTTCTTATCAGGTTTTGACTGTGAACTATAACAATTAAACTTAAGATATCTGAACTACATGATTTCATTTCCGGTTTAGAATTTAATTGATAGTATATGGACATTCAAATAATCTGTAATGAAGCTTAAGGAAAAATATTGCTGATGAAGAAATCTCCATACTTATTTTCCTCTGCATTTAAAATCTGTATTATCGAGCCATTATTTGTTCATGTCGCCATCTTCGAAGAAACATGTTGTAAGTTTTGAAAGTAGTATAACGATTCTCGGAATATATCCTCCCTTCATTCCATTCTCTTTACCAAAATAAACTTTATCTCATGTCCCGCGAACACGAATAGTGAGTCTCTATTTTAAAATGAATAACAAATTCAATTCAATCACAATAATTCAAATAATTCAAATCGAAGAGGATGACAACATTTAATCTCTACACAGAATTCATCACGATTTCTTTTCTCGCCAATCATTTAACATTTTTTTCTTCTAAAATTCTGTATTGTATTTGCAACTATTAACTACAAGAACAAAATGTCAAAATACGTTTTTTGATATAGTCCTCTGGTTTGGGTGTCAAATCCATTTCAAATGACCACAAAACGAAGACTTTTGTAATTGCCTTAATATTAATTGAACCGGTTTGATGTCTGTGTTCTCTGATTATAATAATAGACAACTCATAGCGCTCACTGTAACATATGTATAGTGATGGATATAATCTGACGTTTTTAGCGTCTTCATCAAAATCTGCACATGGCTTGAAAAAACAAACATATGTTTGTTTTCACTCAGTTTATGTGATTATACAAAATGTGGAAACTGATTTGATTAAATAAAAGCAACTTATGTTCATTTATTATTATTGGAGATATTATAAAAAATGAGTTTGCATTTGCAGTTCGATGCAATGAGTTTTATATAGAACAGTATAATCATTTTCTAACAATACACAGTAACGGTAATACACATTCTTAAGAAAATGACTGAAAAAAAACGTTTCCTGCGTATTGATCTAATTCTCCACATGTAATACGTATTCCTTTGTAAACATTTTAATTATAGCTTCATTTTATAAATATTTTCTTGCAAGAATTATCTTTGCATGGATAATTTTAACTGCAGATCTTAACATGTATTACTTCATTTGTTAAATCTGAAATGTGGAAATTTCGACCAACGAGATAAATTGTTCCATTTATAATAAGAGGCAGTTACAGGTTTGTAATGAATATAAATTATTTTGAAAACATTTTTACTCCAGTCCGGTATGGTTTGTGAGTATGCCGAGGAGTAAAAGTTTGTAAAGGAAATTCCTGTACTGTATTTTTGCTATACATTGAATTGGCGATTAAAAATGACTTAATAATTTTACCCAATGAAGAAAAGATATGTTTATATTTTTATGAATGTTCACTTGCCGTTATGCTTTCGCTTTAAGTAATTATTATATGCAATAAAATTGTTTGCAGACAACTAAGATTCCTTTTTTTCTCCACATGGAGCCCTGGTAACCTGTCTTTGAGAATGAAATAAGCAATTTTATTATATAGTATAGAGAGTGAGATACTGAAAAATACACAGTGAGATATTTTCCATATCTTCACTAGTGAAGATATCGATCACGTGACTTTTTCCAATTTACTTTTGAGCGTGAAATTTACAATTTTTTGCTTGGGACTATATAATAAACAGAACATTACACGATGGATTGAAGATACGACTTTTATCTTCTCGTGTTTAAAATACTATTTTACTCACTCACTGCGCTCGGGCATCTCCGGTCATCGATAGTTCTAGAACTGTTCTTTTTTACTTGGATCCCTAAATATGTGTAATCATTTCTTGAACAATGGAAGATATGAAATTGAGCGTCTGAGATTTTGCTATGTACTTATTCATAATAGAGTCTGATTCAACAATCTAGATAAACTGAATAGTTTACTCAGGTATTCCAAACGTTTCAAATAATCCCTAATTTTAGGAAAAATTATCGAAATATGTATATATATATTATATGTAGCTATGTAAAAAACATGAAGCTGAAAAATGTTTATACAACACTTTGACTTAACGTATGAATGTATGATTTTTCACTGCATGCGTTTCTGCCGTGAATTTCCATTTATTTGCTGTTTGCCTGCACGGGCTGCATCAGGCAGAAACTCTACTTGCTCATATAGCCTAAAGAGCCGGTATACATAAATGCATTCTACCAAGCAACCTTTCTTATTTTTATTTGTTGATTAATGGGTATAACTAGATCGACATAACCTTACTAATAATAAATATAAGGATGTGGGAGCATCGCGCTTTTGAAAGGATAAGAATGAAAGCAATATGTACAGAATTGTTTATGTACAAGTATAAGTAACAGCTGTAAATACTAATTCGATAAATCACATATATACAGCACTAAATAGAACTTGATGACCGAATAAGTGTCGAAGAAAACAAAAATTAACTTCATCAAGTATAATTAGAATCTCTAATTTGTTACATTTAATTACAATTCAAACAGGAGGATAAAACACTTTGACTCAAAACTCATTTGCAAAGTTCTGAACATTTATTAGTTCTCTTTTCTTTAATTTTTATGTATATCTTAAAATCTCTGTTACTGAAAAGATCTTTTAAAAACAGAATTATAATATATGCAGTATTATATAAATGTTAATTCTTAAGTAATTTTCGTATGCATATCTTTATTCGCCCATCAGATTGCTACACCAGCTGCGGTGAGCATGGTCTACCTAAATACTAAAGCCAACATGTTGCTCGGCTATCCATGTGTTGTTATCATATATTCCTGACTTTCATTCTCGCGTAATCGCATGTCCGTTTCTCTATTTAAAAATTTATACCCGAGTCTGGCAAATGCTTTAAATTTAATGGAGGAAGCAACCTCAAAAATTAAACTCTATATATTTCAAGTATCCTCTCAAACATAATCACATTATTCGATTTCAGAAAATAAAAACCAAAAGATAAAATGATAAGATATCAATACAAGTGCACTACGAATGCCATTTAACCCTGTACTTTCGGTTCTCTCCAAGATAAGCACCAAATGGTTAAATAATTCCCGAATTTAAAAAATCATTCCAAGAAATTTAAAAAACATTGTTATTATAATTTTCAAAGTTTAAAAATGTTTTCCAATCAATGTGCAGAATGCTGATTTTTTGAAATCTCTTTATCCGTGGAGAGCAGCATAGTTTTCCTTTCCTGAGTATTTTCTATTGAGTTATTCGATTGCTCGAGTAATAAATAAGGTGACAATATCTGGATACAAATGAACAAAACTTCGGTTATGGAAGCGATGCAACTGCTTGATTTTATTGTCTACTGTTTACACTGATACAGATCGTTCAAGATTATTTATGAAAAAAGCATTCTCTTCTTTTTTTCTCTTTTACATTTTTTTCTCTTTTACATTTATCTTTTACATTTATCTTTTACATCGAGCCTTCTTCTGCGCCATTGCCATAATCCCTTATCCGAGCCTCTTTTAAGAATTCGTGAGTGGAGAGGCGAATGACTTTGTAGGAAGATCTGGGGAAAGAAAATTATTGTATTTTTGAGTCTCTGAGGATTCATTTTCGGCGTTCTTAGATAAATATTTCACCCGTAGACCAAGGTTTCGTCATGGGAATACTAAAACACTCTTTTTAATTTAGTTATTTTCCCTTTTTTCTTTTATTTTAAACAGAAAGGACCTTCATGCACTACGGCAGGGGGTCATAGAGATTATAAATAACACTAGAGGAGGCATTGTAGTCTTAATTCAGTTAAAGGGAACGCACCTATTGGGGGGAAAACTCAAGTCCCGGATGTGTATTCACGTTCCAATTGGTGATGAGTTTCAAATCAGCCAATGAGAGCACGATTTTATATCCGGGACTTGAATTTTCCCCCCATTAGCTGCGTTCCCAATTTTTAACCTCGATGCCTCCTCTAGTGAAGGGGGAGGGAGTTTAGAGAAGGTGAAAAATGCATCCACGTTTCTGAAGCACACGGATGTGTTTTGATTAAACTTGTGAATTAATTTAATTTAGCCCCGAAAGTGTCAATCTTTATTATATTATTATTCATATATCGTAAATTTAATGTATTATAAGGTACCTTGAATAAATTTCTTGATTGATAACACGATGATGCGTGGAAGAATGCGTGGATGCATTTTTCACCTTCTCTAAACTCCCTCCCCCTTCAGAGGTGTAGCCACAGGGGGGATTGAGGTGTGGGGATTCTGATCCCCTCACTTTTCTTAAGGGCCAATTTTGTAAACTGAGGAGAAACTGGAGGGCGTAAATATTTTCATCCTATGGCATAAAATAATCTGTGACTTTCAGATTATTATAAGGCATGAAATGCGTTTCGCAGATCCTAAAACTAGAACAATTTTCGGGATATCATGTCCTTAGCCCGCCGGACGATTAGACTCGCACACCCACACACACACACACACACACACACACACACACTACACATGCACACACACACACACACACACACACACACACACACACACACATACACACACACACACACACACTCATTTGGGGCTAGCTTCGCCCCTGGCCCTTCTCCAGTTCTGTTGTTTATCTCCAATCATACTTGTGACAGTAACGTTGTTATTCGAATACTTTTTTCATGATCTCGCAGACACACTCTAAAAACACTCTCAAGTTTTCTGGTCAATGTAGAGAAGAAATAATACCATTTGGTTTACTTCATATTCCCGGTTAAATTCCTCGTTATTTTATCTGACTTCCTACCACAGTCTGGACAATGTAACCAGGAATCTGGTTATGTTTGATATTGATGGCCTTTATAAATAACCAGATCATGTTAGATAGATATATCTTACATAATCTAATTTTTTCTAAATTAATCTATTTAAAAAAGGTTATTGATCCACATAGCATGGTTAATTAACCAGACTATAGTAGGAAAAGAGTTCGCATAGCACAAACCATGCTGCGCTAACTAGTCAGCCTTAGTAGTACAGGCAAAAGTTGTATACTGGCAACATTTGACGACAATTTCACCAGAATGACGAAAATTAGCATGATCTGAAATCTATGAAAGTCGTAAACAGTCTCCCCAGTTAATTCTAACTTTTTCTAACGGATCATATTGGTAATCAAGTTTAATATTGGTTTATGAAGTAGTTTTAATTTAATCGAAGTCAAAACACAAAATTTCAGCTCAGTCCATGATGTAGCTTCATGTCAATCGCGCACACAAAAACTATAGAGAGGAACTGGACGCAAATTTCCGCCATCTTTGGCTATTCATTTTTTGGACATGGAGTCTTACTCCAGATATATGTATGGAGCTCACTGGCGGGGGGGGGGACTCAGAGCGCAACGTCTTTCTACGAAGAGGCCTGGATCGAGACATAGAATCTTGATTTCGTACCCTGAGCCATTTACTTTGAATGAATGATAATAATATTTATTCAGGAAACCAACATCACAAGAAGTGTTTTTCAGATGGTTCCTGCAAAACATTAAAATACAAAATATAGAAAATATATATATAGTGTGCGTGCAGTATTTATACATATTAGCATATGGATATATATGATATACCAGAAAAATTATGCATGAGACTACTGTATAGGATACATGATGCTATACATATTTACAAGGATACAAAGAGTTTATATATAGTAAGTTATATTTTAAATATAATGTATGAGTATTATAAAGATAGAGAATTTAGTTTCTTTAGTTTCTTTCTGTTTTATTGAGTAACTGTGGAGAAATCTTCCACAAAGATTTTTATATATATTTGAATATATGTTCACATATTATTTAAATTTCTTCGGAGCTCGAGATTTTAAAATTTGTCATCTATTTCTTGCCAATGTAAGAAAACCGATACGATCTCAATATTCACTTTTCTGCGAGAGCCAGGGGCGGATTAGCCCAGCGGGCTACCGGGCGATCGCCCGGTGGGCTCCCAGTTTTGCACAGAAAATGGGCCCCTAGTTTTGTACTAAAATAGATTTTAGTTCAATGGGGAAGAAGCTTATCCTTGGCCTTGAATTTTTATCAAGGGCCTGGAAATAGCTTGAACGCTCGCAGGCAGGAAACCATGGCAATAACGATTACATAATTATATGAATAACGCCAGTCAATCGTATTAAATTTGTATTTCAATACTAGATTGAAATGAACTTTTACTGAAAAATATATTAAAAACATGCCAAGGAAAGACATTTATTGCGGTGAAGCATGCAAGCTATATACAGTATGATAATATGAAATCTAATATTTGGTAAGGATTCACTCTTTATATAACATTCAAAAACTCATTAATAATTCATGAAGCAATTATCCAATCTTGAGTAAGAAATTAGTAACGTGCATAAGTCTTTATATACCAGCTAAAGAACACTTTAACAAAAGACCATTGTTATGCAAACTATATAAAGATTTTTATATAAAGATTTTTATGTAAAGATTTTTATATAAAGATTTTTATATAAAGATTTGACTTGTTATGCAAACGTTTTTGAAGCCTTTAAAAAACTCGCAGGTCGTGTTTTTTTGTTTATTAGGTCTAAAGCCACTCGCGCTGCGCGCTCGTGGCTTTAAACCTAATAAAACACTCCTGCTCGTTTTTTAAATAGTACATATTGAAATATAATTTTTCTTTAACTTAATTATAATTCGAGTCAAAGAAAGAGAAAATTCGCTGATACTCCGCTTGGTCATGACGTCACCAGGGGGGCCTCTTTTACGTTAAAGTCCGGTAACATAGATGTTGCTTATCCGCCCCTGGCGAGAGTAATTGTTGAAAGCTATATTTGCATAAGCGTTGAGTTACTATTACGTATAACAACCCTTGACATTTAAGCTGATCGGGCATGATCCTAAACCTTATTAGGCGCCGCCTATAAAACTGCCTCAAAGTCCAAGCAATGATTTAGAAATAACATTTCAAAAGAAACATAAATTTTGTTGCCTTCAAATATGGAAGATTTCTAGGAATCGCCAGGCTAGCTCGCCTGATGTAAAGCAAATGACAAACTAGTTCCATAAAGCTTACTATAAGCAAGGCTTGTCGGGCCAGCCAGACGCATATAAACAGTCTGCGCCATTTAAGAAATTAAATTGAATGGGTTAATTTAGGCGATATGTGAAAACAAATGTCTTTTATTTGTAATTCTATAACCATAACTTTGTCAAAGATAATTTTCTTTCTCTAGACAGAACAGGGATTGCGGAAGAATTGGCGGAAACTTTTTAATTGTCATTGTTACAGCTATACAACAAACAATTTCATATTGCATTGAATAGATATACCATGTGGGTATTTACACTGCAATTTTAATGTCATTGACAAATAACAAAATCTTCAAATGTTAGAGGTTATATAATCAGAGATCTTCCATACTATTTCTATATATAGAAGACCCGGTCAACTAAGATTTAAAATTGAATGAGGCGAAACAAGGAATATTTATATTGAGTTTTTTGGACGCTCTTTGGTTTAAAAGTATATATTTATTTCACGACTTAAATACCCGTTGAAGACTCCAGTCTGGCAGTTGAAAGCTTGTGAAATAAATATATATTTTAGATTAGAGAACGTCGAGAAAACTCAACATGGATAATCAAAGTTTATGGCAGGCGACGGTTTACACGAGAGTTTTCAGTACACCGGTGAAATGAGAGCAAGAGGTAAGAGTTAACTGGATATTACTGCATGCGCGTATCAGAAACTCAATCAACATTTGAACTAGCATTGATGAGAGTTGATGAGAATTGATGAAAGTTGGGCGGATAACGCGACTAAGAGTTTCTTGAGTCGTCAACTCACATGCTCGTTTCACCAGGGCTGTTAAATATTTTTATTTCCAATGATAGTATCATTCATGTTGCACTGCAACAACTCGCCCAAGTCCTAGGCTTGATAGCACTCATTTCAGTCCTGATCCTATAATTCAGTGATGACACTTTGTTTCATTGTTCAAATGTTGACTTGTTATTTTATAGAATAATAACGATTCAAACAAGTATAAAACGATTTGTTGAAGGATTCAATTTTCACCTTGCTGCAGAGAGGATATAAATTACAACATTTGCACTTTAATTGTATGCATCTGTCACGTGCATTGTTCAATAGCAAGTACACAAAGAATTAGATATATAATGATCAATAGACACAATGAAAGCACGATGTATACTTGGATATATATCACCTGATACGTAAATATTTGGATATATTCCTTTGTATGATAGTAATGGGATTAAGAGAGCGAGATTTATGCATATGGATATATTATATATCAAAGTTATGCCAAATAAAAATACTGATGTAAGTGATGTTGTTGATTTTGGAGATTTTCTATAGCAAATTATACTGAAAGTAAACTGCAAAATTGTTTGCATCATTAAACCTGACATTTCATGCAATAAGGAACAAAACGTAAGGGACATTATTAATGAACTTGGTACATGTATGCAATGCCATGCAGATCAAGATATACTATACAATTGTTTCAAAACATTTTTCAAAAGATATTTCAGACAGAAACTCTACGCGGCCGTTTGCAACTGGTAACTAAAAAATCTCGGCATAAAATAAAATTTGTGTTTTTCTTTCTGTGAATTGGCCTCTCATATGTCTCCTAATGTCTCTTATGTGATTCTAATATATCTTATGTAATTTTAATACCTCTTATATGGTTCTAATGTCTCTTATGTGGTTCTAATGTTTTTATATGGTTCTGTTCTAATGTCTCTTATGTGGTTCTAATGTTTTTATATGGTTCTGTTCTAACGTCTCTTATGTGGTTCTAATGTTTTTATATGGTTCTGTTCTAATGTCTCTTTGGTTCTAATGTTTTTATATGGTTCTGTTCTAATGTCTCTAATGCCTTTATGCGGTCCTAATCTCTCAGTTATGTGCATGGGTCTACAATCTTGATTCTTAACACAATACAGGTTGTTTGTGTGTGAAGCTACTGTATAAGTACATAATTCACAATAACATCATTAATCTTATATCATGGATATCTTTGATAAATTAATCAGGTATATTCGAACGAGAGTACGGGAGAGTGGATATATACCTGACAGTTTTATACTTGCCAAGTATAGGAATTCCCTCGAAGTACGTTTCTTTAGGAAAAGTCTCTATTTCGCTTTTGTCCCAATTTGATCTTATGTCTAGCTATATATAACTTTAGTTTTGTCAGTTAACATACCCAGATCTCTTTGGGGAGAAAAGAAGGGTTAAAGGGATGCACTTGAGTAACAGAGGCGACAAAACGCTTGGACATATTTACCAAGTCGATCGTATAGCATGGGTGTGGTGATCTTTTACAACTTGTGTGAGCTTTTACAGGGAATTCAGCTAGAAGCAAAATTTGGCAAGTAATCAGACAAAATGCTTTTGTGTGTAACAGCTGTCTGTGTATAATACTTTGTTGTTGGCATACGACACCTTGGCATGTCATAAGCGCTCTAAATCTTTTTATTGCACTTCGTTGCAGATGTTCCACTAAAAATTCAGAACATTACAAATGATATTTTTGCATGCATTGATACATTATTTTTGTGCAACAAACCAGTTCAGTTATTCAAATAACACCATTAGACGCTGATTGATCTTGTTGTATTATTTCGATTACATTGGAAATCTAAAGCCAGTTTTCTCACAATATCTATAACAGCGTTGAGTGTGTACGTATAGGTTCCTGAGAGTCTCAATTGCTCCATGGCATTAGGCAAAGTTAGTAGTCACAGCGTTGGTACATTCGTTCAACCAAAGATCTCAGGTTGCATCCCCGGTTACGAGACACTCAAAAACTAATTTTTCAGCAAATAATAATCGACCCATTTCGACAAGTAACCACAGTTATTGTTGCTGCCGGGGACAACATGCAATATTTACTAATTATGTATATTTTTCAAGCGGGAATGTCTGCAAAATATTTCATAATTGACTTTCATAAAATATTTCATAAAATTACCCACTCAACGTTCAGAAAATGAATAAGTAAATGATAATGTAGTTAATAGTAAAACTGTCTGTTTGAATGCCAAACATCGCGCTTGTCATGATTTTGCCGAATCTAATCTAAACGAGTTGATAGGCGTACGAGAGTGTGAGGGTGGAGAGGACGTGGGTGGATTGTCTTGAATGCTTTTGCTAAAGTTGAGGAAGCGATGGGCATAACTGATTGAAATTACATTTACCTACAGAAACATCATAGGAATAAACAATAGCAAACAATTTCGATAATAACAATCAGAATGCAAAAATAATTCCGATGAAAATCGTTACATTGAAATAGAACAAGAAAAAGTAAAAAAACGGATTGAAAATGTTGAACATGTTGCCTTTGCATGGGTGACAAGAACCTTTTCCTGACTGCGATCTTACTGGAAAGGATGCTGACTAAGGCTTTACTGGAAAGAATGCTGACTGAGGCCTTACTGGAAAGGATGCTGACTGAGGCCTTACTGGAAAGGATGCTGACTGAGGCCTTACTGGAAAGAATGCTGACTGAGGCCTTACTGGAAAGAATGCTGACTGAGATCTTACTGGAAAGAATGGTGACTGAGGCCTTACTGGAAAGAATGCTGACTGAGGCCTTACTGGAAAGGATGCTGACTGAGGCCTTACTGGAAAGAATGCTGACTGAGTCCTTACTGGAAAGAATAGTTATTTTATTTTTCGAGTTTCTCACTCATTGTTGAGCGGAGTTCCCGACAGGCTGTTGCTCAATTGATAAGGGATCCGAGGTATACCTACTATTTTAATGCAGTTTTAACGTCCTTATCCGAGAAGACGCCAAATTTGACCATTAACTGATGTCAATGCAAAGGTAGCTCTTTCTCCTCACGTATTTTAAGATCTTGAGTAGAGACCCGACCAAGGATAGCACCCTCCCAGCTTGAAAGGCAAGAGTGCATGGACATATTTCTATCAACGTGCTTGCTAGCGACAGAAAAATTTCTAAAGATATTCATTCAAACCTGAAACTGCGAGTTAGAACAATTACGAACCTTGTATCCCGTAGGCCGTACGCTTAGTCAAATCTATACAGAAGCTTTCTAAATTCTAACATAGAACAATCAAAGTACCTGCCAGAATAGCTTTTAACTATGACATCTTTCTGACTTGCCGTGAGTAGTTCATGAACCAATTCAAACGTAGTTTGAAAGTCTTCAGAATTTCGTATCTCTTTTTCCACTTTTGCCGTCAAACAACGCTGTAACCTGAGAATTGTTAGGCTTGTTAGGCTTGGTTATCCCATGGGGATCTATCCCTTGTCTTCTGGACTAGGGGCGTATAACTGTAAAGGGCTAAATATATAGAGTCTGCAAGCAGAACAGAGGAAATACGGTCGGTAGTCAATTGAAATATAAGTCTAACTTCATATCTAACTGTATTCTCTAGAATACAGAAAGATGACGTTTTGAAGTGAATTGGTGACTGACAAGGCCGCTGAGATGCTGCGTGGAGCCTGGGGAAAACTTCCTAGGGCTGCTATGACGTCATAATTGTAAAACGGAAGAAGTGGGGTGTTTTTTGCAGTATATATTAAACTTTACTGCACTAGAATTTATATTGTCGCTTAAGAAATATTGTATCAAGAAAGTCGGCCTTTAGGCTTTGGAGTCCCGTTTTGAACTGCGGCAGTGTCTCAGTCGAGGATGATTCTGACTCTCTCGCCCTAACTGTTACTGTGATTTTATCGAGATATTTACCATTAATCGTGAATTTTACTGTGACTTGTATAGTATGATTATGTTTTGAACCTTTACACCACAAATTCCAAACATAAATGACTTAATATAATGCCTTGTTCTTATATTGAATTAAGATAAACAATTTGCCGAGGAAATCAGTGAGCTAGATGAATTGAGTGGACGGTGCAAGTTAGCAATGACTTGAAACACTGACGGTCTTGAAAATAATAAGAAACCTTGCGTCTTTAATCATATAGGCATTTGATAATTCAGAAGAGCTGATTGTATATTTGCAACACAAGAAATAGTATGTTATATAAGGAAAATTTCGACCCTTTTACTGCCATTTGGATTTTCGCACAGCACTGAATATATTATCTTCGCCATGCCTCCTCAATGGGAAACACATAAAAAGTATAATAATTTTGTTTCTGTTGGCATAATTACAACATTATTTCTACCAACAGGATATTTCATCAGCTTGACAAGATCTCAAAATGGTAATTAAACACAACTGATAGTATAATTCTATAACTTTTCATTGGGCGGTAACCTTCTCACAGTTGCAATCGCACAATAGGAACAGCGCGTTTTTGCGTGAAACCTTGATTCTATTCTGAATTATAATTACATATTTACACCGTAACGATAACAATTTAAAACTCAGTTCGACTTACCCTTTACTCACAGAGGTGTTAAATAAACACTCTGTTTATGCTGCTGCTCATGAACAATGAATGTAATCAGAAACATTTTGAAAACAGAGTGGAATTTTTGGAATGCTTTGGTTAAATTAGTACAAAAGATTCAAGATCAAATACCGCCTTATTACCAATAATAGAGGGAAGCAATTTTAAGGCAATACAACAAAATAATAAATACAAAATTAAACCTGCTACTTACAGGCAAACCGCTAAATGTAGACGGTATATATTTTTTACTCTTATACTCGTCCGAACCCACTTGCAACTTTCTGCATTTATAATCTGCGTGAGCAGAAACTCTCAAAGACCTTGGTAGCGAAATGAAAACCAAAACTGAGAATACTAGCTGGAAAACGACTACGCAATGCGGAGATAAACACATGGAAACTACACAATGCAATGAAACTGGACAAAACGAAGGTAAATACACAGTGATTCACGATGAAAGTCAAAACGTCAGCCTTTTGAGCATTCACATGAATGGGCCTTAATTCCGTCTTACTGTTCTAATAAAAGATTCCCATGGATCATTGCGGGAAATTATGTTTGAGCTGTTTTCAAGGAGTGTGGAAGAGCCACACAGGAAAGTCATTAGCTCATAAAGTATGTGTATCTGTGCAGCATGAAGGGATTTTCTCTGAACAATTGAAAGTTTTTTTTAATTCCAATTTGGAGTTCTTTCCTATTTTAAGAGGCTTACGAATAGTCTGACTGCAGCAATGTCATGAAATCGCAGCCATAAGGCCTAAATATTATTACGAAACATAATTAACGGCGAAAATAAAATCTATAATCAATGTAATTATTAAGGTAAACACTATTTCGGCATGTACAACAATGACAGAGCAAAAGTTTTGCCCAAGTTCAGAAAGCGTCTTTAATACTATTAAATATCTTAATTTGCGACACACACCCGGAGCTTCCAAAGCTTCCGACAATAGATCTAGTTCCCCTTGGCCCCTCCTTCATAACGCCATTTATGAATCAGACCTTCTTTGTATCCGCAAAATAATATCACTATATAGGTTGAATTCGTGTAAATAATAACAATAAGTTAATATTGTCATAGTTTAAGAATCTAACAACATGAAATATATAAACTAACAACTTCAACGTTTCGACCAAAGAGCCTTGCCTGGAAGTTAAACCAGTATAACAGCTTCCAGACAAAAGCTTTTGCCCGACACATCTTTTCGTATTTTTCATATAGTTAGATTTTTCAACCAACCGCAACTGGTATGTATTGCTCATCCCTGCCTAAAATGAATCCTCGCACTCAATCTATGAAACTCATTTCAAAACCTGAAGCTGAAATGGACAAGATCGGTATCGTTTCCTATACCTTGTCCAAGCGAAATCAAGTAAAATCTTTACCATTTGAACTTTTTCTTCTGACGTCTTGCCATTCATGCACATGTAGTTACTCATTTTGTGTTCACATAGTGCACGATTTCCTGTACAGAAAGACATATTTATAGAGAGAGGTTCAGATTTGACTATCGTTGCAGCAGTGCAGCTACCATTCATTACCAAATCAAATGCGTATTGAGCCAGTGAGACGGAATGGTGAGCAGTAACGGCGGTGGAAATCAAATCGGATAGAATAAAAATAACATTCAAAGTAATCGTCAAAAGGACCATGAAACTTTGTTTTGAGAAAAAGCTTTCACTCTATCCTTCAGCTGACAGTCTTGAATATCGTTCAACGCTAGTGCTCTGTTCTACACTGGCCATGCTACATGAGGAATTTCAGTTCTGCCACTTGCAACGCAATTTCTGATATAGAACAATGTTATCTAAAACGTCATCACAGGGAAATTGTGAGCCTAGCCTCATGTTAACAACTTTACATTTTTTATCCCATTTCGTAAAGAAAGTGTCAACAGAATCGAATGTGGGTTCATAATTCTCTTTGATGACTTGTTAGATAACATGGTTCAATGTCAGAAATTTCGTTGCAAGTAGCAGTAAAAATTTCTTCGGAGTGTGGAAGAGTTAGAGAACGAGGAAGAAGACAATATGGACGATGCACGACAAGGATGAAACAATAAATCACAAAGTTTCCGACCAAGTATTTTTAACGTGAGCTTTCTTTAGTATCTGTTTAAGCCGGACTCAGATTTATTGTCTGCATGTTCACCGAAAGTTGGAGGATTTTTGTAGATAGAAATGTGGACATTTTATAAATTTTTAGAGCAAACCATGGCCGCAGATTCGACTCCTTCCAGAGAGCCTAGAGTTGTATTTTCGCAGGTTAGGTCTGAAAATGTATGAAAATTACACTTGAGATTCCCATTTGCCAAAACCCTACAAAAATTTGGTTCTATCGAGTGAGATGACCAAATTCCAAAGTCCTGAATCAAAAGTCCGTCCCAAGCAATGATGACATCATACTTTGTTTTTACACCAATTTTAATATTTGAAACATGTAATATAGTTACACCTAACAGTTTGTACAAATTGTTTTCTTATAAATACAACTTAAACCTGAGCAAGAACGTTGTAACGAACTATATATACTGCCGAATCTTGTTATTCTTGCATGCATGCTGGCACCAGAAGAATTGTGTCTTACTATATACATATACATAGACACACATACCTATATATACATTCATATACATACACTAAATCTAATGTGACGTTTATTATGACATTTTGCTATAGAGTTGTTTGTCGTAGATCATTTGTTTGCGGAAAGTTCGATGTTAGATTACATGGATAAGGAAATGGCTGTCTTAATAAGTTATTTTGATGACAGCAGTGTAGATGTCCTGTATCTGTTGATAATGTATGATAACCGTTATAATATTGTGTATTTCCTGGAGTACAATAGGATGCCATGCCCATGGGTTGACTAAATATGCTTTGTGTATAAAGGTTGTGAGCGTATTCCATCTGGGCGGCCATCTTGCGTTTCCATTTAGTCCTTCTATTCTGGAACCAAATCTTGATCTGAGTCTCTGTCAATTTTAGAGATTTTGACATTTCAACTCTTCGTGAAACTGTCAGATATTTATTTCTCTCGAATTCTTCCTCCAACTCCTTGATCTGATGAGCTGAGAAAGCTGTTCTCGGTCTCTTTCGATCATTTGCGTCTATTCTCTTCTCTTCACAACGTAATGCATCGCTCACTTTCATATCTAAAAATTGAAAACCCTTTCTTGAATAAAAGAGATCTTACTGAAGTTATCTTTATTGTCCAGAAACATCTCAAGTTTACTATAAAAACAGTCCTACATGGTAAATCTTGCTCGTCACCATAAGTGCAGTCGTGTAATTTTGCAGTTAAGATATTTTTTCAGTAATGGTAGAACAATTAAACCTGCTCATTCAAGCCATCTTCAGGTGTTGTACTGCATGGGTAGTTATTATTATAGGCCGGGTCTGCTTGAAATTGAGGGAGTGATGCGCTGGCAAGCTGGCATCACAAAAGCAAGGAATAAAAAAAAATTTTTGTTACCAGAGCCCATATAAAGCATAATAAACAACTCATTTTGTACTTGTCAAGGAAAATGGCGCTGTGTTTTAAAAAATGGCTTGTTGGGATATAATTTGTTCAATTGAAGTGTTCAGGTTCAAGTATCTAATGTCATCATTAATTTTATCACCATGCCGAAAAAAAAGATTGATTGTAAATGATAATTGATCATGAATACAATTGTGATAAATGCTTTAGAGGTTCAAAATTAATGTCGACGTTTCATCTCCCCTTGCTAAATTCATATGCTTTACACCAAGATTCGACACTAAAAGATGAGGAATTTTTGCAACAGAGTTTCTTGCTCAAAGTGAATACAAGTCCCGAAAAGATTTGATTCGCTCAAGCAACTTTTATTTCATCAATCGTTTGCTTAAGTTTCTTAGGTAATACTAAAGTTGGAGCATGATTGAATCTCCTACATATAGCTGAGTCGTGATATGGCGCGGCTTTTTTATTCATTATTGATCTTTCAACCGATATAGTTTAAAACGAGACTAATCGTATCAAAAGAGCGTCATATTCCATCACAGATAATTCCTTAAGAGGATGAATTCAAAATACGCCTGTTGAATTAGACCTTTTACCCAAAGCTTACCACTACGTATACGAGTTTATGTATTAATAGAAATCTATTTGATTGCTTGATTAATAAGGTGAATTTATTTTTTAACATATAGAAGCTTCAAATTTAAAAAAAATTACGATGAGACCAATTCATTTTACATTCCTTGTTATTCGAAGAAACTTTTTTTTCCCAAAATGCTGGTGCAAAATTGCTTCGTTCAGTCGTATCACTTAAAGGTTGTCACCGAAAAAATGCTGGACTGGAAATCTGTCTTCTAGTGTATCCTATGTTTGTATTCGGGAAGAAAAGCCCTCCCGTCGATTATAGTCAGTGTTCTGCAGGACTGAAGTGACTCAAAGAGCCTCTTTAATTTAGTTTTCAAATTTTTCATGCGAGAAAGCCAATCTTTTAGACCAGGAACGTTTTGCTAGTTATCTTCATACGGTTGTCAGCCATTAACTCACTGCACTGAATTTCGTGAATTAAAATATTTCTTGACAATAACAATAGTTGCAACTAAAACCTTACGTGACAAAATTAAAGAACATTCCTGTCTGGAGACTTTAGTTTAGCTTATATGTATTATAAACTTGCAACTTATCTAATCAAACACAAAGATAGTATAAGAATTCAAGATTAAAGTTACTACACTGTATCTACGCGGAAGAAGACACCATACAGTTGTATCAAAAAACTCCAGTTACTATTTACACTTGTTTTCCCCCAATCAGCTGGAAAGTGTGTTTTTGGGCGGCTTTAGAGGGATTCGTTGCATGGAGTAGATTGAAAACATACTATATGAATAGATGAGTGTAAGATATCTTTGTTGTGGCAGAGAAATACCGCTATTTACCCCCAACGTCAAACCGTGAGAATCGCTTAGTCAAATGATAAAATATACTTGTCCAAATTTTTTTTTCCGTTAAAATATAAATGGGAAAGTGATTTCAAGGAGTTCTTTTGATCAAAGCGGCAAGCTACAAAAAAAAGTTTTCTTCTGAAATCAGTTGCATACTTGTCTTTATGCTCCGGAAATTTAATAAAATTGGCTTATTATTGACGTTTCACTGAAGATTTGTACAATGGATGGAATATAAAAACGAATAAAGTTAATACTGACACATATGTGCTATTATCTACTTAAAAGTTAAAGCTTTTATCACTTTTAAAAACAAGGAATTGAAGCGTTTAACAATTAAAGATATAAATCACGATAGCTCCAATTGAGTAATGATTGACGACCAAACCTTACCATTGACGTTTTCTTTCTTTTTTGAAATGTCGTTACTTTGAAACGAAGTGAGATCTTTCGAGGGAGGTGCCGTTCCTTTCTGCTTGTTAGTTTCATGAATTGTTTGTATATTTTGAGAAGTCTGGCTGAGATTCAATATACTTGCAATACTGTAGTTGCTTGACGATCGAGTGAGGTGACGTTGATGATTGATTTCTGACATGTTTCTAACTGTGGACCGATTCCCACTCATTGAGAGCTCTTACCAAGACGATATTGAGTCGCAAGAACTATTTAGGCAAACATTGGTTATTTATGGTTTTAATATCTCCGCCGAGCAGTTTTATTACCCATCCCGTTGGCGTTAATTACCACACGATCGTTGATTGGTTGCGGCTTTGTACAGGTTTATTAAATGAAGTATCTCAATATTTTGGTGTTAAGCTCTAATGTATAAAACAAATTCAATCAGACAAGAGATGTATGCAGATGATTATCTCTGTAATGAGCTGAAATAAATCGTGTAAATATGAACCAGTAAAAGTGGCTGGGTAAAGTTGCAATGAAGTTGTTTCAAAGACTCGCGGAAGCAGTGGAACACATTGAGGGGTTAGATAGCACACAGAGACTGACAGTGTGAGCTTTATTGTTGTTAAAGTGTTCATAGTGAACTATAGAAATTCATCTATAATCATTGCTCCCCGCCGTAGTTTTAATAACATATCGCCGAACGCTCTATGAGTAGTTTCAGACAATGAAGGCGATCAATAAAACCTGTGGGGTCATCAAACTCACAACGCTAGCGCTATCTGCTATCACTACAAGTCTGTAAACACAGGCCTGAAAGCGTGCGCGCATTCGCGGCGGATTAGGCGAGCAATCCCGAGAGGCGGCATGTGTTTTAATTGATTTTATTATCTTGATAGAAGAAAAGAATCCTTATTTCTAATTTATCAAGATTTTCTGTGTTTTCCAATAAACACGAGGTGGCTAAATACTCGCTTCGAACGCTAATTGTGGTATTGATTATTCGATAAACACAACGAAAATAAGAAATTAACAAGCCACGCAATCCATCATCTGTCACACAGCGGTCCCTGTAAGATCTGCATTCGCATCGTATGATGTTCAGAGCGTTCATTTTCAAATGTTACATTTGGATCGTTCAGTAAACTGCATGTTCACGTTCGGAAATGTTGTGGATCTAACGGTATATACAGTAATGACGGAACCTTTGAAGATGATTCGTTCAAAAAGACCGGCTTATAGGCGAACTGCTGGGTTCTTGAGCGCTCAACAGTTCAGTAGAGCTTTGATTAAGCTTAAGACAATGACGGATTTTCGGCAAAAGGATTCCCTTAGCCGAATCGCGCTAAATAATTATAAAATCCTGTAGTCCGTTATTGTAGATGAACTTGTCTCATAAAGTTTGTGGCAAGGTCGAACTCATTAAAATAGATAAGAAGTGTGAAATGTGTTGTTAAAATGATAAGATTGTACAATGATAATAGACAAGAGTTGAAAACACGCGAGCATGAAGAATATTGCCAATTATCCGTTTCGGTGAATCCATTGATATCTTCAAAGCAGCTCACTAATTATGGCAATTTACGTATTCTTTTGATGAGCTGGCTATAAAATAAACCTGTAATCTTTCTACCCTTGTCATTCTTAATAACAATAAAATTTAATAACTTTAGCTTAGGCGTCAAACAGAGATTTTATGTCCTCCTTCCGACCTCTCTAACGGAATTTCACGCTCCATAAAACCTCTTTACAACGTATTGTTGCGAGATGAAAGCGCTATTACCAAAAGGCTGCTTGAAAATAACACAGACTGCGTGGAAATCTAGTACTTTGCATAAAAATAAATGACTATGTTTCTTATCTATGTTGGCATCAATCAAATCAATTTTACAAACGGGCAATTTACACAATCAATCAGTTCGCGGAGAGATTTCAATTCAAGTACGATTGTATCGGACATTGAAGTCTGAGAGAAAATCTTATGCTAAGCCGTTCACGGTTCCACCTATTTCGTCTCGTTTCTTAGTCTTCTTTGCCATTCCCTTATTGGCTTTGTATTACTTTGTTGAATTTTATGTTTTCGCCAAGTCGGCGCGTTCTTTTCCACTGCAAGGCGGCAAGACGCGCCATTAATTTAAGAAGTTGTGTGGTGAATTTAAAAATGGTCTTTGCAAATATTTACGGTCCAAATCGTGTTGCAAAACAATGTTCCCGCAAACCATATACACAAAAATTTAGATGTCATTCTTATAGTAATTTAGGATGAATAGAGAGAGGTTAACATGTGCAAGTTCCCATTTCATAGCGTCATTTTGTTTAGTAATTTTCACTGATGACTACATATTCACACACGCTTTTTCTGTTTTCTCGCGATATAGACTACGGTTTACTATGAACGAATGTGGAAATGACGGGGAAATGTCAGACATAAAAATTGTTCAACAAAATGACGCTCCATGATGGAGCATGTCTCAGCCTCCATGTATCCATTAGTCTGAATCAGGGTATATCTTGAACTCTCTAATATAAGAATTACTAGCCTACATATAGACTTGAAAAATAAACATATTCATGTATAATTTTTTGTTATGTAGTAGCACTGTATAATTATTGTACGGGCAGCTAATTTCAGTCAAATAGCTGATAGATTCAATGACTATAGATGTGCCATGTAGACGTCTGCAAACTGAGATTGCGAGACTCAAGAGCCAAGTGAAAATTTTCATGGGAATTGCTGCATTTATTCCAACAAAAAAGGACGCGATAATGCATGATTATGCTGATGAGGTGAAATTTTCAAACCGTCGGATTGATTTTGCGACTGGTCTACATATCTTTTACAGATGAGGTCATTTTCAAAAATAAAAAAAATCGCCACAATGCCAATGGTCAATGTCATTGGGGTTTCAGGGGATTATTTTCGAGGTAAATACAATTATATATAAGAGACAGTACATAAATTGAATTGAAGTGAAAAAGATAAATTATGATAGTAAGAAAATGTACAGAGGCCGAATGTAGCTTTTTGAGCTGTACAAACGTACAATATTCTATAATTGGACTGATCTATATATTTTAAAATACTGCCATAATTAAGGAACAATTCGTTTCTGAAGCTGCATGCTCAAGAACAAGAGCTTGCGAGCATTTAGAATCAAATCAAACATTGCATCGTAAATTGTCTCCGTTGCCATACCTGATTGTCCTGATTGATGATATCTCAAATGTTAATGACTGTCTGAAATTCACATGGAGGCTAATCCCCAGAATACACGATCGTTAGCTTTTTTCGTTTACTATTTGTGTCTGAACTATCTGAAATAGAATTCAACAAAGTTGAACATGTCCCGAGGCTTCGAGCGAAGATCCTTGGTCCATCATTCAACCTTCGCCTCCGGCCTTTACCTCGGAAACGTCGAAACTATAAGCCGGTTAAATGTCTATTTACAAATGCATTCATTTTCTTCAGGTAGTTCATGAAACTTAAATCAAGGTGCATGTCGACTGGTTTTATGATTCTTCTTGACAACAGTTCGGCGCGCCATATTGATAGCATGCAATATATGACTCATTTTTTATACTTTATATTATAACTCACACCCAACCCCACTTCTTATAACAAAGCTTGAATTGCAAAATGCGAACGGTAGTTTTTAAATTATTAAGTGCAGGGAGTTTAAGTTTTGGACATCCTTGGGTTTTGAAATATTTTCTCAATCTATATATACTAGATCAAACGTAAGACAACTGGTCGTTGAGACAGCATCACTGTTTCTGCAATGCAGTTAATATTCACGTCTACACCGCACCCCATGCTGACCAATAACAAATTTGAGGTTTTCATTGAAACCGTTGTGCTTTGGTTTTGTTTTATTTGAAACTAAGTGTTCGCGATTTGCTGGCGCTCTTGGTTTATTTCATCAATTATTTGCAATCAAACTTGTTGTTATGTCATTATTTACACATTAAACATCACAAATTTTTAACTCAAAAGAGTTACTCTTGACCGCTGAAGTATAGTGATCATGCATAGTGCTTGTTCTGTTTAACTCGAGCAAAAGAAATCAGCGTGTATAGGCCTATATACTAGCATGCTCTTGTAAATAGATTTAAATGCTCTACAGATGTTGGAATGTATTTAACAAGACGTCAGCAAATAACGTTTATTCTTCATTGTTATATCAATATATGTCTTGTTTGACAGTCATATGCTGCATGCATGGACTTTAATATTTCTCTATAAATTACGCACTCCACCTCAATCGCTACTAGCAAAATATACATGTTCAACTTATAAAATATTTCCACAAAATTTTTCAAGTTATGAGGACTATTTTTTAGAAATCCATGAAGTAAATATAAAGTGTATAAAAAACCAATATCATGCAGCCGACAACTTCACTAGGACTAGCAGAAAACAAAACAGAATCCGAACATTCTAGTCTTGAAACTCACTGAGATATACGAGTCAAAGCAAGCGAGAATGAGTTTGTGATATTTTGATTTTATTCAAAATCATCATCAGCTAAACTATCTTCAACACACTCGACATGCCATCACATTTTTCACACACCTTTGTTTTCAGGATTACTATTCTGCATGTAAATGGGTGATTTCCAACTATAGTCTAAATTTTAATCAAGGCAAGAAGAACCAAATCCAACACCACAGCTAGAAAGAGCGTCTTAGAATGAGCAAAACTGCAAAGATTGGTTGCTAAATGTTGTAAAATGAAGAAAATATAGCCCTGTGAAGTTCGCAAATTTTGTATAATACATTTGTATTACGTGCGGTAAAAATAACCACTTTCGGCTTAAAAATGGTTATTTTTTCCGCGCGTGATGCGAATATATACAAAATTTAATTGCGAACTTCACAGGGCTATATTTTCTTGATTTGGCAACAATTCGCAACCAAACTTTGCAATTTTACTCATTTTAAGATGCTCTTTCCAACTATGGTAATGGAATTCGTTCTTCTTGTTTGGAGCTAGAATCATCCATTCCTTTGTGATTACGTCATCTCATACCAGCTTGACTTAAACGACCATGTATATATTACAAGCTTTCGTTCGTAGGGATGCATGCAACAACCTCAAAATATACGGAGAATTTCGACGTATCGAGCGAAGTTCCTTCGTCTGGAGTTACTCAGCGCGGGTCGGGATGATGATGATTTTAAAATAAAATAAAAATTAATGGCATAATATTAATGCAGAATATGTCCCTACTGCCCCTAGTATTATTATTGAACAGCATGGAAAGGAAAAATTTTGTATTAAAGATTGTCATGGTTCGAATCCTGTGTTTCTCGTAGATTTTATTTTTTCTCTGAAAATGTTAAACTGCGATAAGTGACGCATAGTTGGGGGGTTATAGTTGGGTGTTATCCGTTTTGGATTACATGCATGTATTAGTATATCAGTAAAAATAAACTCGTTTGATCACTAAAAGTCGCGAGGGCTAAATCAAATTACTTTGTATTCAAAACGTGAACAGGAGTGTTATGAGCACAGGATCGAACCCGCGGTATTTGTTGTAAAGTTTTAATTTTCAGCTGAAAAGGTGCTATATCTCGTAGTTTGAACCGATCACTTTTTGGATTTTCGTTGGAGAAAAAGTAAGATTGTCACTAAATAAACCATTCACTAACCGAACTACCGGTTCTTTTGCGCATGCTCGATGCCGACTTCCGTTGCTAGGAAAAGAACCGAATCGACCGAAACTTTTGTTGGGAAAACTTGTAACAAATCTGTTGAGCTCAATAACCTTGTAACAAGTTGTCAACAAACCGTTGACAACTTGCTACCAACAAACTGGGAAAACAAATGCGAATACATCCTGTTAACAAGTTGTTGGAACAGCATTGCTACATGTCTGCTGCAGGTTTGTTATAACTTGTGTCAGTTGTGTGTGTTTGCGCACGTGAACACAAGTGCCGGCACGCGCTCAATTATATCACGTCACAATGCCAGGTAGGCTCGGTCCCAGCCGTTCCCTCTTCCCAAGAGGGAACGGCTGAGACCGAGCCTAAATGCCAGGCAAAATCATATAAAAATTTGTAAAAATGACATAAGCAAGACAGAATACAACTTAATTCAATATTAGCTGGTCAAAATAGTAAACCAGAATTCGATATTAGTCGGTGTATAAAAGTTAAAAAATATCCTTATACCTTTATTCTTTAAAGCTGCAATTTGTGCCGTAGTAATTGCGCCGTCAGACATGCTGGTATCCTCTTTCTATCTCGGTGCAAGGGCGGCGACAGCGCGTACTAGGGACGAAGGAACAGCTATTACACAGCTGAGAAAAACGAAATCGCTTAGGAATAGAATAGACGCACAGAATGTAAGAAAGATCCATTTGCACGTCTTCACTTTACAAGAAAACTTTGCCAATTAAAAAATTATGATTATCTGCGTCACTAATGGCTTCACTTGATCAGCTCATGTCATTCGCCCCAGTTTTCTGGGAAACACATCATTCTTAACCAGCACAAACTAGCATTATCACCGGACGAAAAATTCAATTTGCACCAAGTTCAAAATCGCACACCTTTGACCAAATTTGCATATACACAAATTCATAAATTTGCTTCAAATTTACACCCGGTGAAGATTTGATGTAAATTTAGCGTGTGTTTATAAATTCGCACATATTGCAAATTCGATTTGAAGAAGCTAGGAATCGCAAGTCAAACAACGCATGTGGTCCGAATATGACAAGAGATGTACATTATACGAATATACATTATTTTAATACATTATTTTAATAATATTAAAATATTTGCTGTAATTGCGAATTTTAATAGTGCCAAATTCTAGTTGCAAATACGACAATCGCACAATAATTCGCAGGTAATTTAGTGATGACGAATGTGATGTTATTTATAAACATTTGCTGCTATTTTTCATTTTCTGCGATATTGTCGAGATTGGTCGCTTCCTAAACCACAGCACCAAGATACAGTACAATGGGAACTCCAAGAATTTTCATTTTTATGATTCTAGGTTTCGACTATTCTACTGTATAGTCATCCTCAAAATGTGGAATTATAATAAAAATAAAAAAAATTTCGGAACCTCCAATTTTTGTTTGATCAAAAATAGAGAAGGTGTTGTTTGATATTATTTATATTTATTGAATATAGTTGCAACAGAATTTCATGTACGTAATCAATGCATTATAATCAAAATTTAAATATCATTGCAATTGAAGCTGTGTGACCCAAATTTAGACAAATATACAAAGTTCTAAATTATTTGACTCCAAGTTCGCTCGCTTCTCTTTTCGTACGCAAAAGAAACATAACAGAATATGATCTTAGAGGCTCTTCTATTTCACTATACAATGACCTCTACCAAAAACCTTAAGAGTTAATAAAAGCTTCTGTTAAGATGGACGCTAAACTGTGGAAGTCATTACCTGCAGATATGCGTGATTCAGGAAACAAATTATGCCTAAATCAGTATCAAAACTGAATATATTTACTAATTGGGAGCAAACAAAGGATTAGTAAACTTACAAATGATCTTGTCATTCGGATAGACAACAGACCTGTAAATCGAGTGACAACCAAAAAGTCTTTAGGTATTGTGATCGACTGATATTTATTATGGGACAACTATCTGGACGAAATATGTAAAAAACGTATCGCCTTGTGTGGAAGCCTACTGGTGCCACACTTTCAAATATACTTCAGTCATTCCAAAGCAGAGCAGCCAGGGTTATACTAGGTTATATAGAGACGATTGCGAGAAATGAGCTTCAATGGAAAACGTTGATGCAACGTAGACTTGTCTTGAAAGCCAGACTCATGAGTCATGTATAAAATAATCCATGGGCAAGCCCCTGCTATACTAATCAAATCATTTCAAAATCCAATCGATTCTCAACATAATTACAATTTGCGTAACTCAGATTTTAAGCTCTATAGTCCCAAAACCTAAAACTGAGTATATGAAAAAAGTATTAGTTATAGTGGTGCAAAACTTTGGAATAACTTACCATCCGAAGTTATTAATTCTGTTTCGTTAAATACTTTCAATTCCTTAATTTCCGACGTTTGTCCAGATATAATCCTCTTTTTCTTGTTACAATTTAAATAACTATTGTGTTTATCAAGTGTCTTCATTTGTATTATATGTACATAGTTTTCTTTTTAATATTCTCACGCTCCCTTTGGAAATCAGCTGTTGTTAAAGGGGTAAGCATGAATAAATATAGTTTTAATAAATAATTAATAAAATGTCCCGATTGTGCTCATAAAATCCAAAAAAGTTGCTTTCTAGAACCAAAAAGTTGCTCTCTAAAAAGCATAAAAGTTGCCCGAAATAAAAAAGTTGCTACTTCTAAAATTCAAAAATTTGTTCGTACTCATTTGCTGAACAATATGCGAGATTACTTGGAGTAAATCTTCTGATTGAAGTACAAAGTAACGTCACAAGTTTTATATTTTCATATCTCAGCGTTCTAATATTAATTCTTTCTAGTCTGGAGTCCGACAACTCCGTGTCTCGTGTCATATACAACGTTTATATAAAATATAAATGATAATATACGAATACAATAACTACAATAAATATCACACATATTGTGCCTTTATCAGTGCCTTGATGATGAAACTGACAAGTCTGACAGCAGAGGCCGTGGAAGCATTTCGAAAGTGGAGGGGCATTGGCCAAAAGGGGTGTACTTTTGTATACAGCTATTTCAATTAAGGTTGTCCCCCGAGCAAAGCGGAAAAGTCGAATACAAGCGCGAAAGGCTGCTGGGAATCGCTAAAAAATGAATGAATTTATTAACGATTCCCAGCAGCCTTTCGCGCTCGTATTGGGCTATTCTATTTAATATCCGTACCCCCCCTGTCGAGGATACATGTTTTTCATAGTTATACCCCTGAAGAATTCCAAGCTCAGAACTGTTTACCCCTGAAGAATTCCAAAATTCCAAGCTCAAAACTCTTTACCCCTGAAGAATTCCAAGCTCAAAACCTTTTACCCCTGAAGAATTCCAAAATTCCAAGCTTAAAACCCTTTACCCCTGAAGAATTCCAAGCTCAAAACCTTTTACCCCTGAAGAATTCCAAGCTCAAAACCCTTCATCCCTAAAGAATTCCAAGCTCAAAACCCTTTACCCCTGAAGAATTCCAAGCTCAAAACCCTTTACCCCTGAAGAATTCCAAGCTCTGAAAAATTTCAATCTCAAACCTCTTTACCCCTGAAGATTTCCAAGCTCAAAACCCTTTACCCCTGAAGAATTCCAAGTTCAAAACCATTTACACATGAAGAATTCCAAACTCAAAACACTTTATCCCTGAAGAATTCCAAGCTCAAAGCACTTTACCCCTGAAGAATTCCAAGCTCAAAACCCTTTACCCCTGAAGAATTCCAGGGATCCTCGACAGGGGGGTACGGATATTAAATGGAATAGCCCATTCCACTTTTCCGCTTTGCTCGGGGGACAACCTTAATTGAAATAGCTGTATGATCAAAATCAAACGATTTTATGCCGTTCACGAGCCGAACAAAAATGTTTGAAAATATGGAGTGATGGAGTCCCTATAACGTCGGAAATGGCCTTTTAAAGAGTCTTTACTACTGCAAAAAGGGCACTTTCTTTCTAGCCCAGAAAAATGGCACTTTTTCATTTTTAAAGTGGGAGGGGTCACATGCCCCAATTGCCCACCCGGTTCCGCGGCCCCTGCCCCGCGCATTCCCGCCATTCTTGTAGCGCAGTGAACCTACAGTGTTTATTGAGACCGGCAAAATGTTTTCCTCAGTATGTGGTTGTTTTGGTGCCAAACACGGCAATTTTGCTCAAACTGTGGAATAATATAATGCATATGTATGTTTTCTTAACACCAAAATTCATCGAGACTCATTAAAGTTGCGTTTTGAACAATTCAACGTCAGATTTTACTGATTTTAGCCCCTTTTCTTCAATATTTTGTCAGTTGAATCATGATACATACGAACCCTGTATAAATCTAACCTCGATCATTTAACTGTGTATAACATATATTTGTGATGTTTATTGAAAAAATATATTCATTTAAACATCAGTCTCTTAATATTTTTACAAGCTACTGAGTATTGATTAAACTCCTTGGCAACAATGCAATCACCATCAACAGACATGTACGCCTAGCGTACCTTTTTTTCGGTGGCGTACTTAGACTAATAATTGGGGAGTAAAATAATAAAGTAGGGCACATTCACTGGGGTGCAATGAAACTTAATGGGTTAACCCATTGGGTTGCTTAATAATTAAATTAATACTTTGTCTAACACCAGATGATTTTACTCGTAGAGGGGAGAGTGCTGGCTCTGACTGGGTCAAGGAAGAACATTGACGACAGTGATATCATCTCCAACATGAATCGTCCAACGGGTATATTGGCAACAAAATGATTTCCAAACAAAGGCCTCTGTCCATGTCTTGCATCATCACCTTTAGATACACGCATTCTGAATAAAAGAAACGAGAGTCATAAATGGTTGGCTGAATGATTGACTGAAGTGGGTTGATGGAAATTATTGAGTGGAAATTTCTATACATTTTATTATAGACCTAACCCGGAACAGCTGTGAAAAATGTAACTCATTAGGTCCTTGACAGGAATTGAACTTGTCACCCTGCAATCCTGGTGCAGTGCTCGAACCAACTGAGGTACACAGGTCAGTTGTCAAGCTCTAACCACAACCTCCTCTATATGTAAATATAGGGTTAGGTACTGCCATGGTTTAGGTTATGGGTAAATATTAAGAATTTGTTGGCATACTGGTTAGGTGTAATAAAATGTATAACTATTGAATCGGGCGAGATGCTAACAAAATCTCAATGATTGATAACAGACAGCATAGACAGCAGTGGACAGATTCACTGATAAGAATGAATAGTTTGTTTAATAAAAACATCATCTGGCAGTCAGAAGACTGAATTACATGACGTTAAGTGTTACAAGGTTATAAATAGTAAAAAATTCTATATTACAATGCAATTTAGAAATTGTTAATATATACTATATATCATATACTTAAATGTACTAATCTATATGAGTTAAAAATTCTAAAATGTTCAAGGAACATCTGATTTGTAATGTTTCTTAGCATAAAAGTTGATAAAAGAGTTTCCGAAACGATTTGTACTTGCTGGTGAAACTTCAAAAGATCTTTCTTTTCGTAATTCTCTATTGCCTGCTTTGGATGGTAAAAGTTTGGCAAGTTTATGATCATCATTTAAAACAATGTCGTTGAAGAGATTATTGGATAGATACTCCCGTCTGTTTTCAAGAGTGGAAATACCAGCGATGTTAAGAGCCTCGTCGTAAGACAATTCATAGAATATTATTTTCATTGCTCGCTTCTGTATACGTTCAATATTTTTTGCAAGATTTCGTGGCAGGGAACTATGGAATAATTGGCACGCATATTCGAGGACAGACCTTATACAGCTGCAAAAAAATTTGACCAAATCTGCCGAAGCGACATCAGCACGTTTGAGTTGCCTCAACAAATATAAATGTTTAGCTGCTTTGGAGACAATTGAATTTACATGGTCTATCCATTTAAGGTCATTTCTTAATATAACTCCAAGCGATTTGATACTTGTCACTCTTTCCAAATTTCGGTCACCAATACGTATAGGTTCAAAAACAGGTGGTAATCGTGAAAAGGATATTACCATTTCTTTGCATTTAAATGGGTTTAGTTGAAAGGAATTGTTCATAGACCAAGTAGTAATATCATCGATATCCATTTGTAAAGTACTTTGTTCGTTTTTTTCAACAATTTCAGAGACCGTAGTATCATCGGCAAATTTCCACATTTCTGAAAGGTGATTTTGTAACACAAGGTCATTTATCATGGCTAAGAATAGCCAAGGCTAACTTAAGGCTAACTTAGGGAACATAAGGCTAACTTAGGGAACATTAACTAAATTCAAAGCCACAATGCTACATCACCTTTTTAGAATCTCCAGCCGTTCTTCGTTTCACACCAGCATGCATATGTCAACTGTTGTTAATACACATCTGAAAGAACAATTAATATTCCATAGTATCAAAAGAATATTTAGTGCATATATACCTTTATTTACCTGTGGTTTGATTTCCTGGTTTACTTCCTGTAATATGCATCGTTATCAGGGCATTTTTTAAGGGGGGGGGGGGGGGGGGGATCTACAAAAAGGGACCATACTATACCGAGTGTGGAGAAATGTTAGATGGTTTGTTGGTAACAAAAACTTTGGTGTGGTATCGCATTTACTAGTAGGGGGAGGGGGGTCTTTTTGTATTTTTCTACCCCTATGACTGCAATTCCCTGCATTTCCTGAAACAGATTTTTGGATATACAGCATTACATTATGTTGTAGATAGACTGAACCTTCAGTTAAGTACTTGCATAGTATGTTTATGTAGATACCACAACTTGGCCATCACTTAGGGAGCCAGCTTGATAAATTTAGAGGGCCTGACTCTCACGAAGCGCCACCATGGTTGGCACAGAGAGGGAAGAATTTTGAAAATTTTGCATCTCTAATTCGTCGGAAATGGCATTTTCAAAGTCTTCTCTACCTCTTTTGTTAGGCCCTTTCATTAATTCGTTCATTGGTTTGTGAGTCTATGCTATCCGCGAGTCAGGATGGATTATTACGAGAAATGTTTTTATCAAAATAGCATTTATAGATATTTGATTATACATATACGAATATTCAATTTCAAATACTTCTAGTTTCGAAATCAATTGGTTTTTTTTTGGTGGGGGGCCAAAACTATTCCCCTCCCCCTTATGAAACACTGGGTTGGGGGCCCGTTGCCCCCTGCGTCACTAACTTGTTTAGCCGAACCTTGCAACAACTCAAATCTGTATGGTCTGAGAAATGCAATCCAGTGGAAAATGTTTAAAATCTAATAAGGTATTTACAACACAATGTTTAGCCTTAAAGATAAAAGAAATGACATAAGGTTCACAAAGCAAATTTCAGTTACTAGAATATCAAACCTCCCTTCTAAATTCCATGTTTTGCTTATATTTTAGAGAAAAGGGACTTTGACTGGGGGGGG